AAAAATAAAAAAATTAAAAAGCAGCTCTGAGTTGTCATAAAGATTATTTTAAGCTGAAAGTATCTGATAGTCAATAGATGCAGTTTTAAAAAAAAGCATTCTCAGAACTTCCCTTATCTAACTAAAAGCAGCAACTTCTGGGAAATGAGGCTGCCGTAAATTCCCTCTCCAGGGAAGTTTTAAGGCCATGGAGAAGCTGGAAAGACTTCTCATACCTGCATAAACAAGTACTACCACAAACTTTCTTATTTCTTATTTATTTTCCTAAAAACAAACTTGTCTTTCCTAAAGAAACCTATTTGTTCTTCTCATACTTTCCTTTCTCCCAGCTTCCTTTTCCCTATTAAATTAGAAAGCCTTGGCGGTGGCTCACACCCATAATCCCAGAACCTTGGGAAGCTGAGGTGGGTGGATCACCTGAGGTCGGGAGTTCGAGACCAACCTGACCAACACTGAGAAACCTTGTCTCTACTAAAAATACAAAATTAGCCAGGCGTGGTGGTGCATGCCTGTAATCCCAGCTACTCAGGAGGATCACTTGAACCCGGGAGGCAGACATTGCAGTGAGCCAAGATTGTGCCATTGCACTCCAGCCTGGGCAACCAAAACTTGGTCTCAAAAAGAAAAAAAAAAGAAATCTTCAAGTTCTAACAACCCCCTTTGAGTTACTATTACTGAGCACTCCTATGTGTACATGTCTTGCATGCGTAAACAAACTCTTATTTCTCTAAATAATCTGTTTTGTCAGTTTAATTCACAAGCCCCCTGAAGCAGAACCCAACAGGCTGATGGAAGATTTTTCCCTCCCTATACTGCTTTACCCTTACTTTTCTACCATCTATTCTCCAAACAGCAACTAGAATCCACCTTGTTAAAACACAGGCCCAGATCACATCACTCCTCTTTTCAGACTCTGTAATGGATTCCCATATAACTTAAGAGTAAAAGCCAAAGTCCTTAAAAACCTGCAAGACCATATAATGGGTATAAACATGATTTTTCTCTCTACCTTCCTGATTTCACTTTCTATTACTCTTTCCCTCACTCATTCTATTCTCTGGTATATAAAACTCCTTAACGTTTCTATTGAATAAAAGGGATTAATAAAATATAAAAGTACCATATAGATAGAAATGCTTGGATGGCATCAATTCAAATCTTAGCTTTCAATCAAAGCCAAAATGCATTTCCAGTTATGAATAAAAAAAAACTGTTTCAAATTAACAATTCACTCCTTATCTAATGACCTTAACTACATTTTTAAAGAATGTGTGTCATAAATAGTGATTTTGAACCACCAGTGGATTGTAAAAATCAACTCACTAGTTGATTTATTTTTTGAGACAGTCTCCCTCTGTCACCAGGCTGGAATGCAGTGGCACGATTTCAGCTCACTATAACCTCCTCCTTCAGGGTTCAAGCGATTCTCCTGCCTCAGCCTCCCGAGTAGCTGGGACTAGAGGTATGAACCACCATGTCCAGCTAATTTTTGTATTTTTAGTAGAGACTGGGTTTCACCACGTTGGCCAGGATAGTCTTGATCTCTCGACCTTGTGATCCCCCCGCCTCAGCCTCCCAAAGTGCTGGGATTGCAGGCATGAGCCACCACACGTTCAACTGACCAGGATTTTCTAATGTGATAGAAGATAAAATAAAAATCGTATAGTAGATGGTAAAGGATTCTTTCATAAAACTTTGTCTCTATATGGGTGCATCAGATCAACTATGCAAACTCTTTCTTTAGGTCAAGGTCAGAAAAATTAGAAAAACACTGCTCTCAACAAAGTCCTTAATAATGGAACACTCTTTTGATTAGGATCAACAATCTTAAAATACATTGTTTCTAAGAAATGGTGAAAGGAAGTCAGGCATGGTGTCACACACCTGTAGTCCCAGCTACTGGGGAGGCTGAGGCTGGAAGATCACATGAATCCAGGAGTTCAAGTCTGCAGTGAGCTATGATTGAGTCACTGCATTCCAGCCTGGGTGACAGAGCAAAACTGTCCCCCTCCAATAAAAAAAAAAAAAGCATGTAGGGGCCGGGTGCGGTGGCTCACGCCTATAATCCCAGCACTTTGGGAGGCCGAGGTGGGTGGATCACGAGGTCAAGAGATCAAGACCATCCTGGTCAAAGAGGTGAAACCCCGTCTCTACTAAAAATACAAAAATTAGCTGGGCATGGTGGTGCGCGCCTATAGTCCCAGCTACTCGGGAGGCTGAGGCAGGAGAATTGCTTGAACCCAGAAGGCGGAGGTTGTGGTGAGCCGAGATCGCGCCATTGCACTCCAGCCTGGGAAACAAGAGCGAAACTCGGTCTCAAAAAAAAAAAAAAAAAAGGCATGTAGAATGAGCTGAAATAGAATCCCTGGTGTAACACAGTGAAATATATGTATATTTGGTGCCCATTTCCTGGCATACAATTCCTAAAATCCTTGGAATAACCAATGTCCTTTTGTATGCTAATGACATGAGTGGTGACTGGCAGCCCCTGGGGGCTGGTCACTGGAGGAGGTTGGGACTTTTCAGTCTCACCCCTGAACTTCCAAGGAGGAGGAGCTGAAGGTTAGGCCAATCACCAAAAACCAGTAATTTAATCAATGCTGACTACATAATGAAGCCTGCATAAAACCCCAAAAGGACAAAATTCAGAAAAATTTTTGGCTGGGAGTGGTGGCTCACACCCCAGAAGTTCTAGACCAGCCTGGCCAATATGGTGAAATCACATCTCTACTAAAAAGACAAAAATTAACTAGGCATGGTGGCGTACACCTATAACACTAGCTACTCCGGAGGCTGAGGCACAAGAATCGCTTCAACCCAGGAGGTGGAGGTTGCAATGAGCTGAGATGGTGCCACTGCACTCCAGCCTGGGTGACAAAGTGAGCCTATCTCAAAAAAAGAAAGGAAAAAGAGGCTGGGTACGGTGGCTCAAGCCTGTAATCTCAGCACTTTGGGAGGCCGAGGCGGGTGGATCACGAGGTCAAGAGATCGAGACCATCCTGGTCAACATGGTGAAACCCTGTCTCTACTAAAAATACAAAAAATTAGCTGGGCATGGTGGCACGTGCCTGTAATCCTAGCAACTCAGGAGGCTGAGGCAGGATAATTACCTGAACCCAGGAGGCGGAGGTTGCAGTGAGCCAAGGTCACACCATTGCACTCCAGCCTGGGTAACAAGAGCGAAACTCCGTCTCAAAAAAAGAAAAGAAAAGAAAAAAGAGTTTTTGGACAGCTGAACACATGGTTTCTGAAGGGTGGAACCTCAAGACACCCCAGAGAGTGCATGAAGAAAGCTCCAGACCCCTTTCCCTATACCTTGTCTTACATATCACTTCATCTGTATCTTTAAAAATATATAATAGTAGCCATAAAAAAGAAGAAAATCATGTCCTTTGCAGCAACAAAGATCAGCTGGAGGCCGCTATTTCAAATGAATTAATGCAGAAACAGAAAACCAAATACAGCATATTCTCTCTTACCAGTGGGAGCTAAACACTGGGAACACATAGCCACAAAGATGGCAACAAAAAAGACTGTTGATTCCAAGAGTGGAGAAGGAGGGGGGCAGGGGTTGAAAAACCACCTACTGGATAATATGTTCACTGCTCGGGCAACGGAATCATTAGAAGCCCAAACCTAAAGATAAAGCAATATACCCATGTAACAAAAAGTGCCTATGTACCCTCTGAATCTAGAATTAAAAATATGTAAATACACACAATAAAATACTTTTTTTTTTTTGACACGGAGTCTTGCTCAGTCGCCCAGGCTGGAGCGCAGTGGAGAGATCTTAGCTCACTGCAACCTCCGCCTCCCAGGTTCAAGAGATTCTCCTGCCTCAGCCTCCCAAGTAGCTGGGGACTACAGGTGCCCGTCACCAAGCCTGGCTAATAATAAAGTACTTTTATAATAAGCGCCAGCAAACATGTTTCCTTGAGTTTTGTGACCAAATTACTCAAAGCCAAGGAGGGTCATGGGAACTCTGATTTATAGGTGGCTGGCTGGTCAGAATCACAGGTAAAACCACCTGAGGCTTGCCATTGGTCTCGTGAGACAGCCCGCAACTTGTGGGATTTGATGCTATCTCCAAGCAGAGAGCTTCAGAATTGACTTGCAGGGTACCAAGTTGGCATCCCCTGCAGAAATGATTGTTTGCCTGATGTTTGGGGGGGATCCCCCCACGCCACACATCTGATGTCAAAAGTGTGCTATGAGTACAGTAGGAGAAACTGAGTGTTTTTTCTACACACCTGGTCAACTACGTCTGCTGGGATTGAGGAATCAAGGAATCAAACTCCTTGAAGTGGGTAAATGAAGTAACTCAAGCACATTCCTTTACGGGCCCTAAAATTTTCTTTAAAGTGTTTACAGTTTACCAAGTGATGAAACCCATTTACTCACTTCACTGTCATAACCGAAGAGAGGAATGCTGGGGTGATTATCCTCAGATAAACGACTAATAGCAGTACCTAAATATTCAGGCACTCGTTTCCAATTTCGAATAACAATCTACAAGGCCTTCTTTCCCTTGCACCCAGAACTGCAGACAAGCCTCCGCTAAAATCCGAGTTTCATACTCTAGTTTTGGCAAATTCCGTGCTAGGGGCTAAAAAAATTACTTGAGCCACCCAGAATTAAATGATGTCACCTTAAGAGGTGCCTCGGGAGGAAGCGGAGCCCCAGCGCTGGGAGCTCTCATTCCTTGGTCCTACTCCAGTTCCAGAAAAACCTACATTCAGGAAGCCTCGCAGGGCGGGGCCATCCGACTTGTAAACAATGGCGGCCTAGCCTCCGCGGTTCCCCGACGAACCCGGAAGGCGAGTCGCCTGATCCTGACCTGAGGGTATCGCGGATATGGGCCTGGGGCCCCGGAGACCCTCTGTAGCCCAGGGCCTCCTGACATCCCGAGGGTCTCTGGAGCTACGGCCCGCACAGTGCTGGGCTTGAGGCCGTTCCCCCAAAACCGCAAGTCCGGCGAGGACTCGGGACCCCGAACTCACCCAGCTGGCGAGGGAGAAGACACCCAGCACAGCCCCCATGGCGACGCCAGTGATGGAGGTGGCCGGTCCTGAGGCTGCCTTGTGATGCGGTGGTTAGTGCCAGCTAAGACGTCTCCCCAGAAACGCGACGGTTTCTCAGACCGGAAACGCGGCCCTCCACTGACGCACTGATGCTTCACGACGTGGCCCCGCCCACCATCCGCGACCGGAGCGGCCGAGAGGCAGCCTGCCATTGGTTGAGGGGGAAGGCGGGGCTAAAGCATTCTGGGGTTGCAGGACCGATGAAGGTATCATTCCTTACATCATTTGTATTCATTGATCACCCATTATGTGCAAAGATCTGGAGACTACAGAATTGTACAGAGAGGCACAGTATCTGCCCTCAGAATTTATCGTCTGACCGCAGACGATCAAGTTAAGAGGAGATTTCACGACATAAATGCACCATGCCCTAATGAGTACTACGAAGGAATATGGGGGGATACGCTTTCAATAAAGGTGTATTTAGTGCCTATTATTGTAAGGGGAAAGTAATTCAATTGGTCAGTAGTCTTGGAAGCCTCCTCTGAAGGATTTTTTTTTAATCTGCGAACTAAAGGATAAGTCCAAGTTAACCGAGAGACGACAGGAATCGTTTCCTAAAATGTGGGATGTACCCCATTTGGGAGAAATGGACGAATCTAAGGGTGCAGCAACAGGACATTATGCGATTTGAAAAAGCAGAGTGAGAACGTCCCATTTCAAAACAGGCAAGATGTTTGAGGCCAGTATGGTATTTAACATCTTTCTAACGTTTATCTCCCTTTTTAACAGAGTAAAGGCTTCATTTTCTAAATCTCTCCAACAGGCAACCATGCATGCCTGCAGTTTTAAAACATTGTTTTGTTTTGAGGTGTTTGTTTGCAATAACCTTTCCATTTCTACCAAGCAATGCTGATTTCCCGTTTAAACGGTGATGTAAATATTCCTTTCGAAATATATATATAAAATTTGAGAGTTCACTTAAAGAAGAAAATGAAAACATTATTTACTTACATACATAATAGTTTAGGTGGAATGTGGCAAACAATGATGATGTCTGGACAATGAGGTGTCACACTTCAATCTTTTCTCCTGTGGTGTGTTAATCTTCCCTGACTGATAAAACTCTCTGAAAGGGGAATTTGTGGATCCAAGATGGCCGACCACTAACAGCTCAGGATTGTAGCTCCCAGTGAAAGCCCAGAGAATGAGACGACGCCACACTTTTAGACGAATTTTCGTCACTCACCGATCAGCCGATTCCCAGTGGAGGAGCCCCACGGGTCGCCAGCACGACTCTTGTGGCCGCCGCAGTGGTTTTGCCGGCGTCTCGGCACAGCAGCTCTTCATGCAGAGCAAACGGGACTGCTTCCCCTACTGACCGGAGTTTGGAGCTCCGGGAAGTCAGAGCCGCTTGTTGCGGACTCAAGAAGGAAGCCAGACCAGAGATTCCCGGGCAGAAGAGCACCATCAGTCTTACCGCTGCTATTTAGGCTGCCACAGTGGGTTGCTCGGATCCCAACACTGGGAATCAATAAGTCGGACGTCGACTCAGAAAACTAATTAGAAAGGCGGTTCATCTACAATGAAGGGAAAAAAACAGCCTAAGAAGGCCGAGTATACTCAAAATCAGAACCCATCAGCAACAGAACAAGCCCTGATGGAAAAGGACTCAGCAGCAGCAGAACAAGCCCTGATGGAAAAGGACTCATCAGTAACGGAACAAGCCCTGATGGAAAAGGACTGTGTTCCATTATCTGAAGTAGGCTTTAAAAGGTGGATGATAAGAAACGTCTGGGAGTTAAAGGAACTTGTTCTAACCCAATGTAAAGAAACTAAGAACTTGGAAAAAAGATTAGATGAAATGTTGAAAAGAATAGACAATATAGAGAGGAATACAAATGAACTTATGGAGTTGAAAAATACAACACGAGAACTTAGTGAAACATGTACAAGCTTAAACAGCCGAATGGATCAAGCAGAAGAAAGGGTATCAGAGGTCGAAGATCAACTTAATGAAACAACACAACAAGACAAGAATAGAGAAAAAAGGATAAAAAGGAATGAGCAAAGTCTCCAAGCAATATGGGACTATGTGAAAAGACCTAATATACGCTTGATTGGTGTACCTGAATGTGACGGAGAGAATGAATTCAAGCTGGAAAATACTCTCCAGGACATTATCCAGGAAAATTTTCCTAATTTAGCAAAGCAGGACACTATTCAACCCCAGGCAATACAGAGAACACCACAAAGATATTCCTCAAGAAGACCAACCCCAAGGCACATAATCGTCAGATTCACCAAGATCGAAACGAAGGAGAAAATATTAAGGGCAGCCAGAGAAAAAGATCAAGTTACCCATAAAGGTAAGCCTATTAGGCTTACAGCAGATCTCTCAACGGAAACCCTACAAGCTAGAAGAGAGTGGGGGCCAATATTCAATATACTTAATCAACAGAACTTTCAGCCCAGAATTTCATATCCTGCCAATTTAAGCTTTACATTTGAAGGAAAAATAAAATTTTTTAGGAACAAGCAAGTACTCAGAGATTTTATTACCACCAGGCCTGCTTTACAAGAACTTCTAAAAGAAGCACTATACACAGAAAGGAACAACCAGTATGACCCTTTCTAAAAATACACCAAAAAGTAAAGAGCATTAACATAAAGAAGAATTTTTATCAATGAAAGGACAAAATAGCCAGTTAATATCAAACGGCAGCAACCCTAAATTTAAATCGACCAAACCTCCCAATCAAAAGATACAGACAAAATCTAACGGTATATCCAAAGATATACATAGACTCAAAATAAAGGGTTGGAAAAAAAAAAAAACGTACCAACCAAATGGAGAGCAAAAATAAATAAATAAGCAGGAGTTGCAATTTTCACATTTGACAAAATAGATTTCAAAGCTACAAGGATACAAGGATAAAAGGATTAATGTAATAATAAGAGATCTTAACACCCAGATACATAAGACCCATAATGAGATTTAGATTCAACGAGACAGAAAATTGATAACGATATCCGGGACTGGAACTAAGATCCAGAACAAATAAACTCAATAGGGCTCTCCATTTTAAACACACAAATATTCATTATCCACAAAATCTAACGATATATCTAAAGATATACAAAGACTCAAAACAAGGGGATGGAAAAAAGCTCACCAACCAAATGGAGAGCAAAAATAAATAAATAAAAAGCAGGAGTTGCAATTCTCACACTTAATAAAATAGATTTCAAAGCTACAAGGATGCAAGGGTAAAAGGATTAATACAACAATAAGAGATCTTAACACCCAGATACATAAGACACATAATGAGATTTAGATTCAACGAGACAACAAATTGATAAGATATCCAGGACTTGAACTCAGAACCAGAACAAATAAACACAACAGAGGTCTCCATTTTAAACACATAAAATATGCATTAACCACTTTAAACACTCAAAATATTGATCGGCCATTATTGAAACCCATTTTAGGAATGAAGTAATATTCCTTTTTCCCTCTTTTTCTTTTTTTCCCCTTCTTTTTCTCTTTTTCCCTAAAAAAAAAATTAAAAAAAAAAAAAAAAAAAACTCTCTGAAAGGGGATTCATAATTGAATTTCTTCTGGATTATCAGCCTTTAGTCTGTTAAGGGAAATTCATGAAAAGTCCCTCTGGGCTGGGAAAGGTGGCTCACGCCTGTAATCCCAGCTCTTTGGGAGGCCTACGAGGGTGGATCATCAGGTCAGGAATAGACCAGCCTTGCCAACATAGTGAAACCCCATCTCTACTAAAAATACAAAAATTAGCCAGGCATAGTGGTGCGCACATACCAATGTGATTGCTTGGGAAACAGCACATGCACAGAGGGGCTTTTCCTTTTTGAGGAATGTTATTTTCTGGATTCCTTGAAAATGTATTCCAAATTCATGAAATGGGTTGATGAAAGAAGAAAGAGAACTACTCACATTTAATAATTCCTATCTCTCTTTTCCCAGATCTCTCTCATCATGACACATACACAAAAACCAGTTCAAGTCAGGTTGCTTCAGGACCACTGAACTTTCTAGGTAGCCCTTAACATTCTTGCTTCTTCCTGTCTGGGTATTACTGGTCTGGACTTAAGACAGCTACAACTGTGATAAATTTCATAGATCAAATTCTACGTGAAACATACCTGTACTCAAAAAGAATTAGTTTTACTTAGCTTGTTTAGAAAGGGAGAACACATACCAGAGAAAACATAAGGTGTCTTGGTAAGAGGTAACTGGGGAGGACTTATTTTAGGATTTGGGTTTATGCTGGGGAAACTCTAAGGAGAGTTCAAGGAGGTGAGGAACAGTTTTGGATTAGACAGTCAAGAAGTAGAGGCGAGTGGGAGGGGTGGGGAAAAAAAAGAAGTAGAGGCAGTTCAGTGATTAGGTATGTTAAAAATTTTTATCCAGGAGGTAGAAGGATTAAAATAAGGCTAGCTTTGTCCTTGGAAAAGAAGCAGAACCCACTCATATTAGTCAGAATTGGAAGATGTTGAGTCCTATTTGTGATACCAGAGTGGCCTTGTCTGTATCTTATTCCAACTACGTGGTGGTCTTGTCTGATCCTTGTTTATATTCTGTGATCACTATTTATGTTCAGTTAGGAACATTAGGTCTAGCTGTCGGCTGAACAGTTCTTACCTGCAAGCATTTGTCTTCCCAAATGCAGGATCCCACCCATCTCTTACTGTTTCTGGCCCTAACTGGTTGAGTGTGTCACCTCTACTTGGCCAAAGGGAGGAGAGCAGATCTTTGAGACTATCTACTCCAATTTCCCACCTCAGGCAGGAGCCCCTCAGCAACATCTCTTCTAGGGCAGGGCACTTGCAGGCACCCAAGGCAGCTCCTCCCATCTTTGCACGTCCCTTGTCAAACCTAAGTTATTTTATTTTACTTATTTATTTATTTTTGGAGACAGAGTTTCACTCTTGTTGCCCAGACTGGTGCAATGGCACAATCTCAGCTCACTGCAACCTCCACCTCCCAGGTTTAAGCGATTCCCCTGCCTCAGTCTCCCTAGTAGCTAGGATCACAGGCATGCGTCGCCACGCCCAGCTAATTTTGTATTTTTTTAGTACATGCTTATGCCTGTAATCCCAGCACTTTGGGAGGCTGAGGTGGGTGGATCACCTGAGGTCAGGAGTTCAAGACTAGCCTG